CGACCCGTAGGAACAATATATCCAACCCGTAGGAGCAATATAACAATCAATCTGTATGATCAAGAAACATGTAGTGTTAGTGTCTATTGAGGCCAAAACAATCTCATAGACGACAACCAGATGATAAAACATCACAACAATAACAAGTAATCATAATCAATCCAAACACAATCATAACATATTTTTCTATGCCACTATGCAAGGAGTGGAGTGTTGTTGATAGACATTATATCATATGCTGGTAGCCAACTCAATATGATAAAGCTACAAGTCATATACTGATTATATATAAGCCATAACAAGCTTAGGATATCATGATCGTGGTAGAAGAGATATTCTAGTCTTAACATACCTTTCAACCAAAACCCAAAAGGTGTCTCTATGAAGCTTAGCCAACCGAAAGTAATAAAACAATGCAAAAATCAACAAGGCTGCAAAAATGAGTCATAACTAATTGATAAGGCGCTAATGTCATACTCGTGAACGGCCAAGTCCAAAGCATAAAATGAGGCTAATAACAACAATAAACAATAACTAATATCCAATGAAGATATTCCAATAACATCTTGAAGAAGAGACAAGATCCTGAGGCAATATAATAAGGCTTACTTTACATTGTTCAATCCAATAACCATTGTATGTGACTCTAATCGAAATCACACCGACCCCCATTCTCTCCAGCACCTTAAAACCATCAATACACAACAATAATATCTAAACTAAATAAGATAAAGGAGCTTCCCATAACCAGAATATCAAATACACCACCACATGGCTCGAAAATCTATAAAAATGATACTATAACATGGAATTACGAATGAGGGTTGAAAGAAGAAGATTACCTCAACCAATTTTTTTTAAATATGAAGCTTAAGAATATTCATCCTTTCATCAACAATAAATGGAGCCTAAATCGACAAGATAGTTATACCACATTGATGAGCTCTCTACGTAGAGCAACTTCCGTTAAACTTTCGAGTTGAGAAACTAAACACCCTAGGAGTATTTGAAATCTCTCTTAAGAGTTTTTTTTATGGGTTTTCGTCTATTTTTAATGAAAAAAATATGAAGAAGGTGGTCTTTTATAAAGACCAACGACTAAGGAACTAAGTGGACCCACTTAGAGGTATATGTTTGTGCAGTCTCATAAAAATGTGCATATTTTTTTATTCTGAAGTTGTATGGACAAACTGTTTAGTTACTTTGAAACTAGACTCGTGAACCTTAGATTTAATAGGTTATGGGTATTCTGACTCCTTATATATTTAGGAGAAAATTGATAAGACATTTGACCCAAAATTTCAAAGAATTCCTTAACGACATTTACAAAAACTTTTGCCAACTTTTATTTTGCAACTTTCTTGACTTCACAACTTAACATATGAAATTTTGAGAAATTAAAATACCTTATAAAACATCCTTTCTAATATGTTAAGAACTTCTAGTCTTATCCTAATAGTACGAGTTAATTCCAACGTTCAAACAGTAGGGGAGTCATAGATATTTTCATCAATATCCCCCCTTTCTTGGATTAAGAATCCAAGCTACTTGAAACTATCTCTCTTGCTGATAGCTTGAGTGTCAGGCTTCACTTCATTCTGTCTACAACAATGTAATACTGAATTTGCACTCCAACTATTATGTTTTGGTCCTGTTTAACATAAACCCGTTAGATTCCAGAGTTTGTCTCCACTACTCCAACCTATTATCAACTATGATGCATGTCGCATCAATCAGTACTATGTCATTTGAAAGTAGCATACACCATGCACTTTATCATGAATATACTGCGTTAATTCTTTAATCAGTAAGGCAAATAGGAACATGTTAAGTGTTGATCCCTTCTGCAACTCCTTTTCCACTAGGAAGTGCTATAAGTCTCCTTCCATAGTTCTAATATGAGTTTTGGCTTCATCATACATATCCTTTCATCGCCTTAATGTAAGCCACCAATATTCCTCTAGCTTCCAAGCGTTTTGAAAGGACTTTGTTGTAATTCTTTTCAAAGTCAATGAATATCATAATTGTCTTTTTAAAAAAATATTTCTCCAGAAGTTTACTCACAAATGGATGCCTTCAGTAGTAGAACATTCAGGCATGATTTCGAATTGATTCTAAAAAATGGACACACCCTTCCTCACCGTCATCCCACCACCCTCTCCTAGACTTTCATAGTGTGTCTTACCAATTAGATACCTCTGTAATTGTTACACTTTTGGATATCACCCTTGTTCTTAAACAATGGAACGATCATACTCCACCTCTATTCTTCGGGCATTTTTGTTGTCTTGAAAATGACATTAACCAACCTAGTTAACCACCCCATACCTACCATGTTAGTGCTCTTCCAAAACTCCACCAGAATCTCATTTGATTCGATCGCTCTTCCCCTACTAATGCTACCAATATAGCATGATTAATCTCCTCAACCTTAAATACTTACGATATCCAAAATTCTGGTAACTCTCATAGTTCTGTAAATCACCCAACACACTGTCTCTGCCCCTTCTTCATTCAAGAGTTTATGGAAGTATGCTTGCTATCTTTATCTAATGGGTATCTCTTCCACCAACACCTTGCATTCTTGTCATTGATGCACTTCATTTGATCCGAGTCTCGGGCTTATTGATGAGTCGGGGATTTCAACTCATTTAAGGCTTAATATTCAGGGAATTAGTGTCCTCAATGCCTATTTAATTCTCATAACTAATGTTAAAATGTTAATATGCAGCAACGAAGGAAAAAGAGCAAGGCAAGGATATTACGAGGCAAATGGGAGTGAAAAAGCTGAAAAAGTTGAAGGAAAGCAAAGTTGGTACTCGCCAAAGCCACTCGGCGACTCGCTGAGTGGACCTTCAGCTTGCCTAAAGATCCAGCATGCCAGCCCATGGACAAAACCAACTTGGCGGTCAAACAAGCAATTCGGCGACACGCCGAAGAGATCGACGACATCAATTTAGCTCGCCAAATGTTACAAAAAGAGGTGGTGAAAAACCACGCCAAGAAGGTGAGAAAAGGAGCACTCGGTGAATCACCGACCAGATCGGCGATGTTGACTCACTTCGCCGAAAGTTACAGAATAAATGGGTGAAAAGACACACCAAAAAGGCGATAAGAGGAGCACTCGGTGTATCGCCGAACAGTTCGGCAAGCCCGACTTACTTCGCCGAGTGGACTCCGCGCTGAATTTTTGAGAACGTATAAATGTAATTTTCAAAAGAAGAGAAGGAGTACTGAAAAGTTCCCACATTGTTTACTTCTGGGTTTTTGATCTTTTACATTTTAGAACATTGTTTTTACATTTTTGAGCAAGGATTTAGATATTGTAAGATTTTTAGCTTTAATTTGAGCATTTGGAGACTTGTGGATCGTTGTCAAATCTGATGAAAAACTTCATTGGTAACGATTTCTTGTTCTTTACTATGTTTGGCTGAAACCCCCATTCTTGGGGGTGTGATTATGTAGTTGAATGCGTTAATTAGCTAATGGGTGTTGTTAGTTACTGATTTTATTGTTAATTTTAAGTGGGTTCGATTAATTGTTCATGTTTTAATTGAGGAATTGTAGTTGCAAATGCAATTCCAGCTTATAACTCGACACTTTCTTGAGAAAGAGGTGTTAGAGTCGAACTATTAGTTGATGACTGTTTTGATTGCATTGTTACGAATCTAGCTTGAGAAAGTGAGTTTGATTGCAATCTTGCAAATCTAGCTTGAAAAGGTGAATTGATTAAGGTAATGGGTTGTTCAATTGTGTTTCGCTTGTTGAGGTTCGAAAGAACTCACTTGAATCGCAATAGTTGATTGAGAAATGACTATTGCACTCAAAACCTAGCCTACCCACTGATATTCAACATCTACGAGTAACTTGTAATCACCCATTATGCAAAATTAGCATTCAACTTATCACACTCCCAAGAAACTTCTCTCCTTGTTTACTTCCGGTTCTTAGTAGTCATAATTTGGTTACCAAAATCCCCCCCCCCCCATTTGATATTAACTCTCTAAACTTTGTGATTTACTTTGATGTTGCGAAACTTCTACCTCTACAAACGATTAGGACACAATTTTACTTCTTAAATGAATTCTCTACTGTATCACTCCCTGTGGGATCGACCCCAACTCTTAGTTAAGTTTATACTTGTTAACGACCGCCTACACTTAGAATTGGATGAAGTGTAGTTGAGCGTTATCACTTATCTCTCCCACACCTTCTCGAGCTTGTACAACTTCTTATATCCGCCTTTATCCCCTAGTTCCACATACATGCGTTCGAAAATTGTCGTCTTGATCGTTGTAACCAGTAACTTAACCTCATTTTTGTCACCTTATACTTTTCCTTATTCGTCTACTTCTCCTCCTTGTCCTTGCACTCCACCAATTGTATATAAGCAATCTTCATTGCTTCCATTTTTCCTCGAACTTCTCCATTCCACCATCAATCTCCTCTCCTCAATAAACACTAGAATTACCTCTCAAAATCCCTAGCACCATTTTAGTTGCTTCTTGCTATATGTATCCCCACTACTCCTTCAAGCCGCCATAACCATTTGTCCACCCCCCCCCACCCCCCTCCACCCCGCAGCGGGCTGGGCCCATCCTAACTCCCTTTTTGATTTGCTTGCCATGTTGAGTCCCACGGAAATATTTTATTGATTTCGAAAGATAATTCATAAGGGTTATAACATTTCATTTCAATAATATCAAAGTAAAATCAAAAGATGTAATTTATCACGATTGCAAACTTTCAGTTGTTGAGATCTACCATTAAATGAAACCTAAATCATTTCCTAATCTATGGTTAAATTACTCCCCAATATAATTCAATACAGACAAACAATAATTGAGTTAGCACAACAGCTGTGAAGCTTAAATTACAGCAAACAATTTTCAATAAGTCTCAAAATATTATCTTAACAGTTTCTAATTCCAATAGATTCTTCCAATATCTTTCTGCCTTTTAGTCTTCTTCATCAGCAACACAAGCTGCACGAGAGACACAGTTATCAGATAACAAAGACTCGTCAACAAGAAATATAGTCACAAATGCAGCAGCACAATATTCATATGCATATGGGAAATAATTGCTTTTAAGGTAAGAATGATAAAAACAAAGAAAAATGCTACTATAATAGGCAGAAAACAGTTATAAGATTTACGATTCAAGATATGTCTTAGCTCATATAAATTGTTTGATATTTTATTATACAAACGTTTACAGCATAAAGTATAAAATATCATTTCGTAAGATGATAAAACTGACAAAAAGGCAGAGATAGGAAGAGATTAAGATTAAGTCATTTCAGGAATTCCACCCTGAAAAGCTAAACACAAATGGCCCTCCGTTGTTATCTAAAAGTTCAGAAAACCAGATACTCCCTCTGATAAAATCATTTATCTTGAACAAGAAAAGTAGATTTCTGCCACAGATGCTAAAAGCAGGAATTCCATCCAATTGAGAGGAACTGATCTCAATAAGTGAAACACTCGAGAAAGAGAGATAAATGCACGTAGAAACTTCTGAAAAAAGAAAGAAAAGGTAAACGGTACAATGTTAAATAAGGCTTAGGATTCCTGCTCAACAGTTTCAGGACATGATCTCGTAGCAGCCCACTATTACTGTTAAGAATAAAGAAAAATTATCTAATAACCTATATCACTGCATTCTTTAAACCATTGACATGCTAAAAGATACGACACATACACAAAATCGAGGTGAGTTTGCACTAATTGAATAATTTTAAACTAATAACCCTTTGTCTAGATATTCTGAAAGAAGATAATAGAGAACCAGAAAGAAGAGAACACGTACACGTAGAGATGCCTACAAAAGGATTGCGAGGAAAAATCCTTGAAGTACCATAAGTCGAGCACCCAGCCAGGGACAACATGACACATAACAGAAGTAAAATATATGAACAAACAAGAAACAAGTATGCTTGTTCTTTATACCACATGCAGTGAACATGGATTGTTACCACGGATAAGGACGATACTGTATTCGAAAACATTCAACCAGACTTTAGCTCGTACACTTCAAGAACATACAATATTACTTTGGTGCTAAAACTTAAAATAGAAGTAAATATTTCCAGAAAGTTTGATTGTAACGCAATCGAGAAAAATCTCAAGAGAAGCTACTCACTGCCTCAGCATTCCTTCAATATCCCTCCCCCCCCCCCCCCCCCGCCCCCTCAGAGGGCAACTATCTCTAGTGTCAGCTCCACTCTCCACCTCTACTAAACATGTCACCTCCCTGTACCTGAAGCCACCCCTGTAGACTCTCATTACCACATTTTATTTCTTCTCATCCTCCTACATGACCTAATTCAATGCCACTCGCACAGCTCACCTGTGGTCCATACTACCCCCTTATCCCATGAAGCACCCAAAAGCCTGCTGCAACTGCTAATGCTTCTCTAATCAGTTTTGGCACATCCTAGTCATCATTGGAGAACACATATAGCATGTATTTACAGTAACGGACCTAAGTTTTTGCACAAGCAAGTTCAGTTGGAGACAATGTTAGTCGACCTTACAGACAGCATGGAAGGCTGCAAGTTGGATTTGCCTGTTGCGTTCTTTTTTTCCTTTATACTGTGATGTTAATATGAAGACATTTTGAAGTTGATTCTTTGTTTAACTTTAAAAGAAAATGGCAAAAATTTGAATTTCTTTTTCAATTCATTACTTTTACAAATTATGTCAAGAATATATCTAATTAATTTTTAAAAAAATATTTTTATGACTTTAACAGTTATTTAAATTGAACAAAAATCTATTTAACCATCTTAGAAATTTATTAAACTCTAAGAATTTTAAGAAAATATAAATATTTTTACCCTATCTATAAATAACAAATTAAAGTTATCATAACAACCAGAAGATAGCAGAACATAAAGAGTAATAAAGTAGGGATAAGACACAAGTACCCCCTAGACTATGACCGAAATCTCAGAGACACACCTTAACTAAACTAAGGTCCTATTACCCCGTGAATTTATTTTTTTTGTAATTTTGTACAACTTTTGTCTTACGTGGCACACTCCGTGACTCCACGCAATTGAGGCGCGTGGGAGATATTTGAATGCCACGTAAGCCAACAAGGTGCACAAAATTACAAAAAAAAATGGGCTCAGGGGGTAATAGGACCTTAGTTTAGTTAAGGCGTGTTTCTGGGATTTCGGTCATACGGTCATAGTCTAGGGGGGTACTTGTACATTTTCCCAATAAAGTAAACTAAACTACTACAAATTATGAATGAAGAAGAGCGTCTAAATTAAGCTAGAAATTTCAAACTATACGCAAAAAAGTTTCAACAAAAACTAACTTAGGATTAATTAAGAAACTATAAGTAATTTCAACAAATATACTTGCATATATAAGTAAATGTAATGAAAGCGAGTAACACAATTCACTTTATTGAAAGATGCAATTTTGAAGTTAAAAGACTTCAGAATACGCTTTTTTGGAATTGAGTAAGAAAACAAATTTGAAATAAAATAGATAGATGTATAAAACTAAACAAGGTTAGATGTGGAGAAGTTGTTGAGGGTGAATATTGGTTACTGTTTGCACATCCAACTGCATTCACACAGATTAAAAGTCATAACTGAGGGGAGGGGGCTACAGAGTTACCACTACATGTTGAATTCAACGCTAGCTCTTTGTTAAGTAATGATTCACATAACCATGCTTTGTCAAGATGATTAACTAGAAAAAAATATGTACGTAATTTTGCTTTTTAAACATTTAAATACACTAAAATAATAATAAAAAAATTCAACCAAGTGGATTCATGTGAACCCTCTTGGGGACACATGCTCCTAAACAGATCCCTTACATCGTCAATCACCAGTATCATCAAAACAAGACTAAAACTGATTGTAAAACTCTCAATTAGATCCTGTCCCTCACACTTCATCACTTTTGATCTTAAATCCACCAGAAAGTTCCCCACTGTAGAGCACAACAAATAATCACGTCGACACGATATCAACGTATTTGAATAGAACCACCAAAACTATATCAAATTTTGAATACAAACCACTTAAACAGCATGATCATTGCTGGAGCTCCAAAGAGAAGGAAACAAAAACTGGGATCATATTTTCCAACTTAGGTTTGCGCTATAAGTTCTAGCCAAAGCTAATATAATTTCGTGATGACTTTTGTTTCTTTACAGTGTCAATCCTAATAATATTACTTATTCTAGTTTGACAATTTGCAGTGTCTCCCTTTTGTCTGTGTTTCAATGATATACTCCTTGCTCATTCTGTATTAAGAATTTGGTTTTCCTGGAAAGAACTTCCTACAGTAGCTCTACATAATTTGAGCTCAATGATAAATGAGCTTATAAAGTACAAAACTTGTGCCTCTAGAGATAGTATATGGTAGTTCGTTCATCTATTTCAACTTGCTGTTGAAAGGTTAAACAGGATGCTACTGCAGCTTTTGCAACTTTAATTCTTATTTCTGATTATGTGAACATTGATTTGTATGCTACAAGTGGAACTCACACCATATAGAGCAAATATAAGTTAAAGCAATGTCTAGCAGCAGGTATATGCCCTATTCTTTGGAAATCAACTACACATAAATGCAAACAAATATACATTATTTTCTTTTCTTTTGGGCATGTATTACAAAGCTTCATGGATAGCACTTGTAAAGGTGGGCCTCCTGACTCAGTGTATTGAGCCACAACCATACAAGTTTGATTTCTAGTCCAGAATGATGTTCTTCCCTTGAGTGAAGGACTTTACCACATTTTGAACTGAAAGCTTATACGATTTAACTTAAGCAAATGAGGCCCTTGTAAAGTATACAATATCACAGAGTGCCAATGTATGCTTAACACTGGAAATGGAGAAGATTTATAGATTTGAACGAGAGGAAGGTCAAGAAATGAAGGATGAACCCAACCTTTGATAAACCAATAGTATCTTTAGATAAAATTGACTTGGATTTACTTCCCTGCTTTCTGAGGATATGGTTCTAACTCAAAATTGTGTAGTACTTGCTTAGCTTACTTGAAACATCCCCATTTTCTTAGACTAGGTGAGCTTTTCACCTTGTTTAGAGAAAAAAACACGTCTAATTAGGCGTGAGAAATCTTCCATGGACAGGTTTACTAGACCCGCTCACTACAACGATGCAATGGGGATGGAAATGGGGAAACTATCCGAGAATAATAATAATGCAGAGAGGATCCATGTGGGAATAACCTCTTCCTATTTGATTGCATAAGTTACGTTCCTAAGTGCCTCAAATCTATTTTCTGCTTTACTTTGTTGGTACAACATATATGCTTAATCTATGAGAAGTTTATTTTAGAAGCCCACCAGATAACTCCTCAAATCAAATGAATTGGTAACAATGAAATTGCTACCCAGATTGAAATCTCAAGTTCTCTTGTACAATCAATTTTAAATATGGGTAATTGAAAAATGTTATATAGAGATGTCTGGTAACCGAAAGCAAAATCCCTATAAATCACAAAGAGAAAAAAGAAAGCATATTATTGGTTGAACCAGAAACAAAAGTACCTCCACAGCAGAAACAACAGTAGCAGCAAGAAAGGATCATGAGGAATTCTCTACAAAACAGCTCAAATTTTTCTCGTCCACCGTTATTAGAACTGCTGGTTGGCTCATCCAAAAGCTTCTGATCGTTGTCACGTTGCTTCTGACTGTTCATTCTATGGAGATTCCATTCAAGATTCTTCAAGTAACCCAATTTGAAAGAATCCCTTAATCTCAAAGATGGCCATAGATGCATCTCTCTTTCTATCTTCGGCTTCTCTATCACAATAAAGCTGGGAGCTATCTTCGGCTTCTCTAAAATTAGCTCTTGATATTGTGACATTTGCCTAAAATTTCCAATATTTAAACACAAAAAATAAAATAACAAAGTAACATATTCTAAGAAATAGGAAAAGAAAATAGTACATTTAGGGTGTGTTTGGTATGAAGGAAAATGTTTTTCAATGAAAAATATTTTCCTAAACAATGTTTCCTGGAAAATAAGTAGATTTTTGACTTATTTTCTCATGTTTGGTTGGTGAGTAGAAAATATTTTCGAAAAAAGATTTTTTAAGTGTTTGATTTATGAATGAAAATTATTTTTGAGAAAATATCTCTTTTTTTTACTAGAGAGTAGAAAATAATTTTTGAATTGAAATTGATTTTTTTTTTTTAAAATAAACTTAATTTTTTTGTGGGGCTGGGGGTGGTGGTGGGGGGGAAGGGGATAGGGGTGAGATGGGGTGAAAAAATAA